AAAAAAATTTTTACAAAAACTTATAAGCAAGGATTGGTATACGGTAGTTTAATTGATTTTTTTGTTCCTGTGATGGATCATATTGCTTTTTAATATAAAGCTTGCCCCTCAAATGATGATCATATTTTATGCATGGAAGGCTTTTAAAACATAAGCATAAGTTTAGTCCTACTTGACCCTTCTTTTTCTGACAAGACAAGGAGTCCGTGAGAATGATGGGAATATACCCTCAATGATATTGGCCACTACTCTAGAGACCCCAAATGTCCCCACCCAAGTGGCTTCAATCCTGTTACTGTGGATAACACAGATTCTCCTCCACTAATGAGCATTGGGAGAAGTTGTAAAGCTGAGCTTTGGTTTCCAGGAACCCACATGAATTTCTATCAAGTCCTGCAGAGTTCAAATAAGAAGTTAGTTTAGAATGTCTTCCTTTGTAATGTAATTCTCTTTGTAATGTTTTGTTGAATTCAGCATGTTTTCTGTCTCGGTCTTCTTGGGCCTCCATAAGATATTACTGTGATTGTTAGTTGAAATAACAGAAATTCATTTCCTACAGTTCTGAAAGCTGGGAGGTCTAAGATTGAGGTGATGGCCATTTGGGTGTCTGATGAGGGTCCTTCTCCTGCCTTCTTACTATGTTCTCACGTGGTTCTTCCTGGGGATTAAGTTAGTGGAGAGAGATAGATCTCTCTCATAAAGTCCACAATCTTACTAGATTAGAATTTTTACCTCAGTGAGAGTTCATTTAACCTTAATTATCTCCTAAAGTCCTATTTCTAAATGTAGTCATTGGAGCAGTGTTTTATATAAGAGTCTAGGGAGATGCTAGTCAGACCATGCCTTGTCCATATGCAAATGTCAAAATTGTCTACCTTCTCACAACACTGATTCTGACCAACCACATCCTAATTGTAAAAATCAAAGACATCATGTTAGAACTTGGTAAAACCCACAGTGATTCTCCTGAAAGTGAAACCAGAATAAAGATTGGCCAGTTAGTTCTACAGCATCTGCTGATGCCAGACTTAGAGCCAACGTATTATCACAGTCTTACAACCAAACATATCTAGAGCTGGGCATATCTGAATGACAAATCCTTAGAAACAAAGGTGAGGGGACTGGGAAGGTCCCATGAACTCACTACAAGGGTCCATCTTAATGCAATGGCAGTCAAACTTCTTTGCATTTACTCAACTTGATAGAAGATGCATCTACTTTTAAGATTAGCCATCGAGTTCATGAAGGTGCTAATGGTGATATGTTTGTGATCCTTACATTTGAGTTTCTCCAATGATCTGATAAAGATGTGTTTTAAACAGTAAATTTTTTTAAAACTAAAATACAAAGAGAGAGCGTGCAATGTGAACAAACATGAACATTTAGCTAGTGTGTGTGTGTGTGTGTGTGTGTGTGTGTGTGTGTGTGTGTGTGCGCGCGCGCGCGCATGCACCCATTCTCGTGCATGTGCAAAAGGATTCTGTCCAATTTTGAAGCCTGGAATTAGACAAAATGTTCTTGACTTCTGAGATAATAGAGTGCTCTCTCTTTTCAATGTCAATGTTACTGACGATATTCAGTCGATGAGAAAGCCTAACATCGTTTGAGGGTCAAATACGGTTGATAAGATATAGATGTTCAATTTCTAAGTAATTTGAAGTAAATAGTAATGCAAAAAGGAGATAAAGATTTAAAGACTATCACATTATTACTATAAAATTTCTTTATTACTATTACCTTATTTTTTGAGATCATAATATAGTCATATCACTTCCTCCCTCCAAAGTCTGCCATTTACACTTTTGGGCTCTTCTTCAAATCCATGGCCTTTTTCCCCATTATTGTTGTAGGCATATGTAAATATATTATCTGTAGGTGTTGTATGTATAAGTTTACAGGGCTGAGCATTTGGTGTTGGAAAACCAATTGGTGTGTTCTTTCCTAGGGAAGACTGTTTCTCCTGCTCTCAACATTTCATGATTGTCTTAAATCTTTCTCCTTGATAGTATAATAAATCCAAGATAAACAGTAGTTACTAGGATAATTAACATTACTTTCAGTTAAATTTAAAGATTAGAGTAATCATTAAGATGATCAGCATAAAGGTGTGAGGAATCAAAGACCATGGTAGACAAGGCATTATGGAATGGGATAAGCAACACAAAGGGCCTTTTGAAAGCCATATGAAAACCTGCTACTGTAGAAGCTTCCTAAAGTCTATACATATATAAAAGAAATTTAAATGGAGTTGCTATATAATGAGGAGTCAATATCCCAACTAGACATCATATGCTACCAAGTAAAACTTCCGGTACCCAAAGTGGGTTATATCTTTTTGAGTTGTTAGCCAAAAAGGTTCCCATAGACACCCCCAAACATTGCAGGCCATTGCCAACTAATTCTATGAGCTGCCCTCTACAACCTTACTGTTTAATCCACCACAGGCTTATATTATCAAACACGGAGAAATCTGGCTGGTATTCCAAGGAAAGCTTCATCCCTACTGGTTAAGTGCTGTACATGCTACTGAAGAAGAAAAGTCATCATCGGTTTCTTCCAGTTATGACTCTGAGAGCTGTAATAACAACCTGCCTCTAACATATGCTCACTAGTGCAAGAATGGCATGAACGTTATAGGAGAAACCAACTGCTTTTTTTAAAAAATTAGATTTCATGGCATGGAACATAGTCCTGACACTGTTAAAGAGGTCAAGAACCTGAGACTATATAGATCATGGTCCCCAAAGAAAACCTTTTACTATTATTCTGCTAAGTGAAGATAGCAATAAAATGACTCCCAATGGCATATTGCTGTACCCATAGATCAGTGCCTCCCTCAGCCCTCATCAGAGAAGCTTCTTCTTGCAGTAGATGGGAATTAACGAAAGAGGCACAACTGGACAGTGTACAGACTGAAAGACTTGGGAGTGCTCAGCCCTGAGTAGAATCTTTTTGTTTATTTGTTTTGTTTTTATCACATCTCTCCCCTGTGCAGAAGAGGGAGTAGAAAGATTGTAAGAGTCAGAGGTGATGGGTGTCTGTAAGGAAACAGACACAAAAGGGCAGATATGTATATGAATCCACAGAGACAGTGAAAGCATTCATGGGACATGCTCAGGATAGACAAAATCCCAGCACAAAGGAGGGGAAGTGGGCACAATCTCCCAGCCCTAGGCAAGAAGCTGTTCACAAATTATAGCAGCTGACAGAAGGAAAATCAGTTTCCTTTAATGAAGTGACACTGGGTATATCAACCACTCTCCAGGCAGACTCCATGCTCATGGGCAGCTGGCCAGCACAAATCAGACTTCATGCTTGTTAGTGGATTTTTCTCTTCTTTTTGTTTTTAAAAGAAAGAAAGACCATGAATTGGGGTAGGAAGCGAGCCAGGATGGCCTGGGAGTAGGGGATGGAAAAGAAGATGATAAAATACTGTATGAAATTCTCCAAGAATAAATTTGAAAATGGTGACCACTATAAATGTACTTGTAAAGGGAGAAGAAAAAGACTGAAAATACCAGCACTGAAATCAATTAAGAAACAAGAAAAATGCAGTTATTACAAAATCACCATCAGAAGGTCTCCTTAGTTTATCATTTGACACTAATTCTCACTCTCTGACTTGATAACTTGCACCTTGGATTCTTATCCTCATTTGTAAATATTAGCATTGGGAAGAAGGGTAATGAGGCTTGCAACTCTAAACTTTTATTAATTTATGTTGTATAATATGTGAATGTGTGTGTGTCTGTCTGTATGTGTGTGTATAAGGGAGTCAGTTGCATAGGTTATTGTCTACTGAACAAAGAATTTTGTTCTTTTCTTAAGTTGCATTAGAATAATTGGGGCAATTTTTATAGGAGTTAAAGCATGAAAGAAGGGCAGATTGGTTAGGAGTTGGCCTGGATTTCAACCTTGGGACTATAATCTATCAGGATTCAGCTACTTTATCTTAACAGTTTGGACTTTGATGGCTTTTGAGGTCTTTTAGGCAGCAAAGATTCTATGTCTTCTCAGCTTCTGTGTATCCCTATTCCTTTAGCAAGCCCCTTGGCCTTATTTCTACTGCAAACTTAATGAGTAGCACTAAAAGTTCTGCTGAAGGTTGCAGGCATGTGGTTCAACCATGCATGCGTAAAAGCAATGACACTCTAAGGTCACTGGGTTTTGGAGAACTCAGACATTTCTTTGTTAGTGTCAGAAAGGCTAGAAACATCTAGAAAGTCCTCCTAAGCCTACTATGCTGGAATGTCACCACGGTTGCCCCTAGCACATCTATCTAATAATGCATTTTGGATTGTTTGAGGCCTCTATGTATCTCTCTCTTTTTTAACCTTCAGAGTCAAGAGTTTTCCTTACACTAAAGTAAAATGTGTTTCACATTTTATGTGTTGGCTGTGGTCCAAATTAAATAATCTGGTAAAGTCATTAAAGGAATTTAAGACTTTAAAAACTGTTCACCATTGTTCCTTTTCTCTGGGTAAGCCTCGCTACCTAAAAGAATCTATTTTTTAAAAGGTTTGTGTTTAAAAATATTGATTAATATATACCACCATTGCTAAATTTCACATTTTGTTAAATTCTCTATTGTTTATCTTTGCAAACTTCAATCTTCCTAAGAAATCCTGAATACATATTTTATAATTAATGAGTTATACCTTTCTTTCTTGGTCCAAAATAGAGTTCAAGAGTCAAGTCTGGCAGTATTTTAGGGATATCTTATCTTTCAACCATAGGGGGAAAGAACCCACATGAGTGGAATGAAAATCATGTGAACTATCTTTTTCCACCTAGAAGAGATGGCTTCTTGTCTTAACACTATGAATGGACTGTTATTCTTATCTTATGAGTCTTATTTTATGAATGGACTGCTATGGAGTACTTCAGCCTGTAATTGTCTGGTTATCAATAAACCACTGAAGCCAGATAAATGGAGTTTACGGAATTAGTATTTCATTTTATCTTTGTACTCTAACATTCTTTCCCCCCCATTTCTGCAGATATGTGGAACTTTGATCCTGGCACTGGCAATCTGGGTGAGAGTAAGCAAGGATGGCAAAGAGGTAACTATAGAAACACAAAGCAACTCTGTCTCCATAGTGAATGGGCATGTCAGTAATAATGGCAAGTAATGGATGTTCTACACCATTTTTCTTAAATGCCTCACTTACCACTTGGGATGTTTTATGGGTTTACAATTTAAGCCACCAGAATTGCTTATTATGAGCTGAGTGGTGGTGGTGCATGCCTTTAATCCCAGCACTTGTGAGTCAGAGGAAGGTGGATCTCAGTGAGTTCCAGGTGATCTACAAATCGAGTTCCAGGACAGCCAGGACCATTACACAGAGAAACCCTGTTTCGAAAAACAAAACAATAGCAACAAAAAATATTGCTTGTTATGTGCCTTGCATGGAGCAGTCCTTCTAGAGAGCTGAGCAGGGTGTGCTATGGCTACAGAAGTATCCATATTTGTGAAGGGAAGGCTACCCAAAAATATAAGAGTTAGTCAATCCAGTTAGGCTGGTAAGTCACTTGGTCAAGGGACCAGCCGCTTGGAAGGCTCATTTACCATAAGCCATGTTAAAAATACAGAAGGAATTGTATCCTTAATGAGATAATGTATTTTTCCTTTCCAGAGTCACAGCACTCTGTGTAAGTGGTAATGAAGAATAGGCATTTGACAGGATGCCCACTACATTGCTACCCATGTCTGCTTTTGCCATATGACTATTTGTCTGATCTCCACAGTTGAACATGGCCGCTCAACTCAAATAGCATTGCTTCCTCTCTTCCTCTTAGCCATCTTCCTCCTTCAGGAAGCTGCCAAGATTTATGGCTGTCTGTCTGCCCTGGGGTTTTTCATTTAAGCTCAAATAAAATTATCTTTGATCTTTCTTCCGAACCCATTCCTAATTGTTTTATCAGTGAGACTAAAAACCTTGAGTGGTGACCTCAGCTTCCCTGGTAACATGTGTCACCCCAGGTGGGGGTCTCCCCCAAATTCTAGTACATTGTTTTCAGACTAGAAAGACGTTAACACAAGGAGATGCAGGCAGGGGTCTAAGGAGAATATTGCATCATCACTGAAGGCCAGGCTGAACAGGATGAACAGCTTGGAGACACAGAACACCTTTCATCCCCACCAGAATGATATAGTGGATTCTGATTCTGGTGTAGCAGATCCCAAGGTGATTGGTCCAAAATGAAAGTGGAGAAGAAAGTGACAGTAGATTTCCAGGGCAGCGCAGTACAAGGGTAACTGGTATTTACCAACAACCGGAGTAGGAGGTAACCACTTCAACCAGAAGCTGTCACACTAGTGTGACTCGGGAGGTGTTCAGCTTCTGGATCACATGAACAGTTAACAAGACCAGTCAGTCTCCTCACTCCGCATACCTTTTCATCCCAGGGACAAAGCTTTTATCAATATGTCCCAAGGTTTGGAAGTTTAGTTTTTAGGCACAACTCCAACCCCAGCCTTTGGACTCAATGCATGTTATTTCATTTCCATGCTGAGGTATAACAAATGTGCAAAGAGGGGGGAAGGATAAGCTTGTGGATCTTCTGTTGTTTCAGACTTATCCAAAATAACTCCACAGTGGCTCTGTTTCTTGGTTCCCTTATTTCCATTCTCTTCTTCCCTCTCAGTTCAAAGAGTGCATCCCTCATCTCTCATCCCCCTCCCCACTCCCCCTCCCCACAACCCCAAATTTTTACTACTCTTAGCTCCTGTTCTTTGCTCACCCTTGGTTATGAAGGCAGGCTCTTGGCTGGGTCACGTCTATTGTTAGGGCCTTTTCAAAGGGTTTGTACCAATAGTTTTCCTCTCTTAAGAATTCCGATTCCTATTGAATATTATAAAGATAATATTAAGCCAGCAGTGAAGACAACCCTCTAAAATTATTTAAATTATTATTACTATATCCTTGGGGCATGGTTTAGTGGAAAGAAGGGTTAAAAGCAAACTGTCAGCTGGTTTGTTTCCTTTTCTGATATGGACAGATTTACCAGAAATATTCATTTCCCCTCCTTTCCTCCTTCTCTCCCTCCTTTCCTCCCTCCCTCCCCCCTCCTTCTCTTCCTTCTTTTCCTCTCTCTAGATCCTTCTTTTATGACTTTTTTCTATCCCAAGAGTCCAGAGAACCCCTGAGCTCATCCTATGCTTTTCCAGATGATTAAACTGGGAGGGGCTGGGTGAGAAAGGTCCTCTTGCCTCCTAGTTCATAAGAATTCCACTCATTATTTATTCTGATAAATGTGTCTCTAAATTCCTGATGGTCCCAGGATCTGGCATTTGAGAGGAAGAGGAAGAGGGTTTTGAAGGTGTATGTAATCTGTCTGGGTTTGAGGCTCATAATTAAAAAAAAAAAAGACTAACAACCATCACTCTGTGGGTACTTTGGACTTTTGAAGATGTGTGCACAGCCTGAATTTTATACTATTATTTGATTTCTGGTCAATGTTTTCTTTCTTCCCAGTGTTTCTGTTAAGCAAATTTGGTGTTTAGTCTGTTAAGAAATGACACACACTGAACACATTAAATGAGAGCCGTTGTCCTTGACAGAATGTGACTCTGACTCCACATCTGGGAATGGAATGGATGGAGCACAAGGGCTAGACATCACTGCTAGTTACATTTAGAGCCCTGTGCTTTCAGCCTCCTGAACACAGAACTAAAGTCAGTGCCAGGGCGACCAGCCTGGCTTAGTGAAGTTAGCTTGATGCATGTTTGTCTGCAGTTAGTGACAAAGAATCAAGACTTCTCAAGGAGAACTGAATTTTATTCCTGGGGAAACAGAACTAGTAGTTTTACAAGGGCCAACATGGGAACAAACACATCAAAGAAAGACAGGGAGGAGACATCTCTTTCTGCTAACGTGCCTTGGAAGGATATGTTTTAAGGATAAACTCAATAGCTTTCAAGCAAACAAAATTGGGCACCACCCTTGTTCTGGGCATCTCTTCTAATCTAAAGAAGATCCCAGCAGCCTCATCTTTCAGACTCAGCAGCCCCTCTTTGGAATTCTCCCCTTTCCTTAAGAAATGCACAGACTCTGTTTATATGGGACAGCTTTGGAAACTCTGCTGGGTTTCTGCTGGAGCAAACATCCGGCTCAGATTTCTAGCTCATTCTTCAGGAAGAATAGGCATTTGTTGGGCTGAACTTTCGACAGTGACTGGTAATGGGTCAGCAAGCAGCTTTCTTTCTGCCTGGTCCCTGGCGGTGGGTGGCCTCACCACAGTCCTTAATTACTGCCTATGCAGGTGTCAGCCATACTACTTAAGCTCCCGGTATAGTCCATCTGTTATCTCTGGTTCTGTCCTGAGTTCTAGTAATCTTGCTACTTGTTTAGATTTCACAGCATGTCCTGATGTTGACATATCTATTTTTTTTTTGTCTCTGACCTCATACTTGCTTGTTAACAACAATGATTTCTCTGGTTTTAATAATTTTCGAATCCAGCCGGTAACGTCGGTGGTGCACACCTTTAATCCCAGCACCTGATAGGCAGAGACAGGTCCATCTCTCTGAGTTCGAGGCCAACCTGGGCTACAGAGCAAGTTTTAGGACAGTCACAGCTGCTTTCCAGAGAAACCCTGTCTCAAAAACCAAAATAATAAATTTCTAATCCTTTTAAATAATATTTTTATCAATTTTTTGTGAATTCCATACATTCAATACGAGGTATTTTGATTATATCCATCCCCCACTCCTCCCCTGATCCTAGATCCACTCAGTCTACCCCTTCCAAAACTCTAGTCTTTACTATTGTTGTTGTTGTAATAACCCACAAAGCCCAATTTGTGCTGCCCACATGTGGGGCTGTCCACCAGAGCAGAGTGGTCTATCTACCAGGACCAACAACCTTAAAGAAAACTAATTCTCCCTCCCAAGAAGTCTGGCTCCAATCTTAGCAACAAAACAAACAAACACACATACAAACAAAAATCTCTCCTCAAAATAAATTTAAAAACTTATGACCTAATCAGGCTTTAAATTTGTAAATCTAAACTTTATGTATAAGCAAATACTTTTGTAGACAAGGGAGGCATTACAAACCACAGACTGGGCTATTTCTCTTTTACAAACTGCAAATGGGCCCTCAAGTTAGCTTACAGCCTGGGGTTACACACTTGTTACATATTGGGTCCCCAAGTAGAATATGGATCTAGGCTTTTATAATTTTAGTACGTGCTTTCATACTGACTATTGAATAAGTATTTCCTATAGGTTATGAATGGATTTAAAAAAGCTTTGAAAACAGAAGGATCACTAGTGGCATGTTATTTTTGCATTGATTTGGTAAAGGAGGTGACCTGTGGGTGGTCTGGGACATAACAGAATACAGAATCTTGAGTATCTTTCCTTGGAGATAGCCCAGTACCTAGAGGTTCTAGGTATGCAGCATGCATGTGTAACAATGGCACAAGACCTCCATCTTTAGTTTAATTGACAACTGAACTTGCATGGAGGAAGACAAATGCTATATGATATTGGGGTGCTGTGAGGTTAATGTCCAAGTAGACACTTGTGTTGCATGTGGAAAAACTGAGTTAAACCGGATTAGTAACTCACCTACCGTAAACAGACCTAAGATATTTTCCTCAACATCCCATCATTTGAGAGTCTGGCAAAATTAGTCTCTGGGTTAAGTCATTCTGGGAATGAGAAGATAAGGTATGATATGAACTACCAGGAACTGGGCTTATTGTATCCTTACCAAGTGCAAGAGGGTGCCTATTAACCCGGAACCGTTTTCCGGTGTGCCTTTTTAGCCAGTTCCTGCCTTCTTGCCTATTTTGCTCAAAGGCAAGCTGCTTTAATTTTGATCACCACAGCTTTGCCTGTTCTTCAACTCCATGTAAACAGATCTTACAGCATCTTGCTCTTTTATGTATGGCTTCTTCAGTTCAGCATGATTCTGACACTCATGTTGCAATCATCAGTGACTTGAGGACTGTGGGTGTTTTTAAGTCAAAATAATTAGATTGTCACAAAACAATTTACTCTACGTATCAGATATACAATGTGTAACCCAAAGATCCCATCAAAAAGGACGAAAAGCACTTTTCTTTTTCAACTTTTAGAAACAACTTTTAAAGTTCCTCCATTCAACATCTACTGTTTCATTCTAGGAGAATTATCCTAGAATTAAACCACTCAGGAAGGTGGAATTTTAGCAGACCCAGAGCTTTGCCAGGGCAGAAACTTTCGATGGTTTTCGATCACAAATCTTCTCGGAGTCTCAGAACTGGGCCTGGCACCTAGAGGGTACTTGAGGGATGTTTGGGAAAAGAGAAAAGTAAACATCAAGATGAGGAATTCACACTGCCGATCTCTTCTGTTTCTAGATCATCACTTCCGGAGATGCTGGCGCGAACCCGTTGGTTGCTGTGAACATGTTGATTGCGGTGGGGGCCATCATTATGGTTCTGGGCTTCCTGGGATGCTGTGGTGCTGTGAAAGAAAGCCGCTGCATGCTTCTCTTGGTGAGTTCCAGACCAATCCCGGCAACCACCCTCCAGACCCCAAGGGTACTCTGTCCCCGTGATCGGTCAAGCTTGAAGAAGCCCTAATTTATCTTAGAGAATTTGAATCTGGAAGAAACTATGCCTCAGGTTTTGTATTACCTTGGTTTAAATTTGAGATTAAACTTTAGAATTCAAGCTATGTGACTATGTTTCTGTGTGTTAAGTGCTTATGGATCACCTTAAGACAAGACCCATAGAGGAAAGAATAGTAAGTGAAAATAGACTACAGCGAAAATGGCCACAGAGGAGAGAGGTGAAAATCGGAGAGGAGCTTTCAAAACAGAGATAGAAGTGTCTAATCTGTCTGCCTAGATGAGGGAGCGATGTGGTTACCCGGAAGACAGCCTAGGATACAGGGCTGCTATGTGTGAAGAATGGGAGTGTCTTGGGTGTGGCTGGAGAGAGTGCAAAGGCTATTTTCTCCAGTAATGATAGGAGGTGTATTTGTGTGGGCTGTAAAGTACACGATGTGCTAACGAAATTGCAAGGGAGATAACCAGATGTGTGATTTAGGATTTTCCAGAAGGGTGGGTTAAACTGGGATAGCCCAGAGGCATTTAGTTTTTAACTTATACACTAGAAAGTTATGAACAAACCTTGGCAGACTGTTAGAAAAAGGAGTATTTGTCAGGTATAAATGTGAATGAATCTAAACTGTTTCTATAATTAAAGAAGCACTGCACATGTCTGAGGGTAATGGTGCTTTAGCTGTTGACTGTGAGGGACTCTGGGAACATCTCTGGAGAGAGCTTTTTGAGTACTGAGGCTTCTCTTGCCATTTAATTACTTGAGGAACTTGTTTTAAATATAGACTGGTATGTGGGCTCCCTCCTCCAGGCAGAGTCCAGGATTTACCCAGGGAAAAAGGATCCATGTAAATCCCATAGTGAAGATAGTGTTCTGAAACCAGTTTTAAGTGTGTGTGTGTGTGTGTGTGTGTGTGTGTGTGTGTGTGTGTGTGCATGTGTGTGCGTGAGCGCATGTGTGTTCACCTCGACTTAAACAGGAATGGAGAAATAATGCTTAGATCCTCTAGGCTTTCAAACCTACTTTCCTTTAATATGACATAATCAACAATAGTCTTTCCAATGAGATTTCATTGCAACCACTTTCCTTGATAATTTTTCTTTTTGAAGCAGACCTTCTGGGTAGTAATAGCTTCAACACAATGGCATAATAAAGGGAGGCTGAGACTGGTATTCTACCTCTGAGGTTGTTCTAGCTGCCAGGGGTCACGTGACACTGCAATGCTGTTGGTAGTTACTGGTTACTCTGAGAACAACCTATCCCTGTCTTGTCTTTCAGTTTTTCATCGGCTTGCTCCTGATTCTGCTTTTGCAAGTGGCAGCAGGTATCCTGGGGGCTACTTTCAAGTCTGAGGTATGCTCGCAGCTGATGTTTGACAACGGTTGGAAAGGCTTAAAGCATTGGAATTCTACACTCTGGCATGAATAATTTAACTATATACACATATTTTCAATTTTCAGTATAGCCGCCTTCTGAATGAAACTCTCACTGAAAATGCAAAACTTTTGACTCAAACGACTGATGAGGCAAAAGAATTCCAGAAGGCCATAATTTCGTTTCAAAAAGAGGTAATTAGAATTTCTTGGCCGCTTGGAAGTTTGAATATGATTTCTCAATGTTTAACTTTAAGTTTTTTAAAAAAGTGAATGAAAACAAGAAATAAAAAGGAAAGGAAAGGACATGACTGCTCCGAGGTATGGTGGAGGAGAAATTTTATTGTATGTAAAAGGGAGACTGTAGGCAGAGACAGGGACGTCTGGGAGAGTCCAGAGTGGACATTGTTATGCTTTTATTTAAAAAGAGGGAAAGAGAAAGCTTCAGGATGAGACATGTTGACTAGTTTATTATATGGCCCGGCAGAGTAGGGAAACTAAGAGAGAAGAGGAACAGGGGTAATGGCTGACCGCCATGGCCAGTCGCCATAGAGACAGAGAGAGTGCATAGGTGAGGGAGAGCCAAGAAGAAACAGAGAAGGAGAGTAGAGAGGAAGCAGAGAGAGAAGTAGAGAGGAAGCCGACTGAGAGAGCGAAGCAGGAAAGTTGGAGCTTTTAAAGGGAAGACTGGACATGCGCACTGAGGTTCCACGCATGCCCGTGGCAGGTGACGTGATGATTAAGTAAGTTTCCCTGTGCGTGCCCTGAGTATTGTCAGGGGGCGGGTCTGTCTGTAGAGCCTATCAGCAACAAAGCCTGAACCTTTCAGACATGACCAGACTGAACTGGGCCTTTGGGGAGAGGTGGGGGGACCGGGGAGACAGGGGGACTAGGTGTAGCAGTCAAAAAGGCAAAGGTCCAAAAGGGGCAGGTACCCAAAATGTCTGACTTATGGAGGGAAGAGCCTCTGGGGCAGCCCAGCCCCTCTGCTGGAGAGTTCAGGGCAGAGGGTGGGGTTATACCTCGATTCATATCCTGAAACAGGTAGGGACTGAGGATTGCTAGAATCTGGTGGTCAGGTCTGTTTAGACGTGTTAAATAAGCACCTCAGACATTCGTCCCAGGGTTTGGGACTTAACAAAAAGTTATTACTATCATTTTTTTTAAAAAAAAAACTGTGTGTGTGATGTTATGCTGTGTGTATGTCTGTGAACCACATGCATTCCTGCTGCTTGCAGAAGCCAGAAGAAGGCATTGGATCCCCTGGAACTAGAGTTATGTGTAGTAGTGAGCTGTCCCATGGTTGCTGTTAATCAAACCCAGGACCTCTGGAGCAGCAGCCAGTGCTCTTGACCATTTAGCCTTCTCTTCAGTCCACTATTTAATTTTTCAAATTGGTATATTCTGGGCGGGTGTTGGTGGCACACGCCTTTAATCCCAGCACTCGGGAGGCAGAGGCAGGCGGATCTCTGTGAGTTCGAGGCCAGCCTAGTCTCCAGAGCGAGTGCCAGGATAGGCTCCAAAGCTACCCAGAGAAATCCTGTCTTGAAAAACCAAAAAAGAAAAAATGGTGTATTCTATAAAGATAAATTCTCCATTTTGCAGACTTTGACCGATTATTATTTCACAATGTAATAAGAAAAGAAGTATCTGTAATGGTTTCTAATGCCTTAGGATTTGATGCAATTTAGGGGATATATTAGAAGATATGTTTACAACAAATAAAGCTTTTATGGGAGAAACCAGTAATTATTTTAATATTTACAATCTGAAAGATTAGTGCGTTGAGAAGTCAGCTCCTTCCACTTAAAACTAACACTTCACATTCCTTGCAACCCTATGAACTGGTGATTTATTTGTTTTGTGTTGCTATGACTAAATGCCTGAGACTAAGTCTTTAATACATAAAAGATATTTATTTATTTGTTTAATGGGGTTTTTGTTTGTGTGTTTGTCTGGTTGTTGGTTTTAGACTGGCTCTCACTATATAACCTTGACTGTCTTGGAACTCCCTCTGTAGACCTGGCTGGCCTCAAACTCACAGAGATCTGCCTGCCTCTGCCTCCAGAATGCTGGAATTAAAGGCGTGTGCCACCATGCCAGGCAGAAAAAAGGTATGTTGTACTCACAGTTTTGGAGGTTGAAGGACATGGTCTGTCAGGTCCTCACAGAGGAGGGTGTCACAATGGTGGGAGACCACTCCAGACAAGAAGCAAGTATGGAAAGGAGGAGGTCCTGCTCTTTCTTTGTTGGGTTTTGTTCATGTGTCTGAGTGTTCAGATTTTTAAATTTTGTTCTAAAATTTTGCTCTATAATCAGCACACGTTACAAAATATTAACGGTGGATTTCATGATGTCAGTTTTGTGCATACTTTGTTTTGCTTGATTCCTCTCCTCCAGACCACCCCTCCCCTCTTACCACTTATACCCTTCTGGTCCTAGTAGTCCCTTTCAAGTTACAAGTCACATGTATCCTATCACTCCCCCATCTCGCTTAAAACCTCCCCCCCCTCCATGGTAACCCATTCTCTTAGGAACTAACTCCATCCTGCAAACCTATCCACCAGCAGCCAGTAGCAATCTGTTCATGAGAGTGATTCCTTTTGGCCCAGTTCCCACCTTACAAAAGTTCTCTAATGCTGCAACACAAGACTACAGAGTATGAAAACGAAGCAGATGGTGACATCATGCTGATGCATGCCATTGTTGAGAGGGGACTGAAATAGCAAGGGGTTGGAATTTGAGTCCAGATCCAAGGGACCTAATTTTTATGTTGGGGCTACTAGCCCCACCCTTTCTCTCTCTCTCTCTCCCTCCTTCCCTCCCTCTTTTCCTTCTCCTCCCTCCCTCCCTTCTCCTCCCTCCCTCCCTCCCTCATTTTTAAGGTAAAATCAAATGGAGGCATTAGAGCTATTTGACGATCTGGTTCCTTCCCAATCTTTACTGAGTATTACTTCCGAAGGAAGCTGTGTCAGACCAGGTTTGTGAGGTCAAGGTCTATAGAGAAACTCTGTCTTCCTGACTTTATATCATCCCATATCCTTGGAGTGCACTTCCTGCCTTTCTTCCCCTTTGTGAATACATGGGCTTAAAGAATGATGGAATTTTATTTAGTCTGAGGCTTCCTAGCCACACCTTTAGATTTTGGAAATCCCATCATATTATCTACATGTAGTATTCACTGTAGGTGTGGCTTGGCATGGAAATTCTTAGAAGATTATAGGAAGGCTGGATTTTTATCCATTCTCCTTTTTCTTTGATTGAAATATTTTGCATTTGCCATCTACCATTTATTGAGTTGAAAGTCTGCCCATTTTTGCTCATCTCACTTCTATACTAGCTGACAGTGTGTTCTTCCTCAATTTGAAAAAAAAAAAACACCCAACTATCTTCCTAGAATTCATATCATTTAGTCTCATTTCTGAAACTTATAGGAAAAAGAAGTCTATGAACGTCTGTAAACACAGTGGCCTTTTCTTTGAAAATAGTTGTTTGATTCCCAAAGTTTGCTTTTCAAGCCAAAACATCCTTGATTTCTCAAACTATGCCTCAGATGGCATGGTTTTCCCTGATCATTTACCAGTTCCTATTTGGACAGACTCCAACTTATAAAAATTCTGCTTAAAACAATTGTTTTCAAGAACTGAAATCTGGTGAGCTAGGTCCCACCTAAATTCCTGTGTGAGGTGCTGTTTTTTTTCCTAACTTCCCACAGCTGTGTCCTTTGCTTGCCCACACCCCTCCTACATGATTTCTTTCCAGAGCACAGATTAGTTCTAGTTGACAATAGGCAGTCATAGTGGAGCCCTTCCATGGGGCATACAGAGCAAACTTGGTCCTCTCTAGTGAACTGCCTGGGACAAAAGATCATAGAGATTTAATGGGATTCTGGGACAGGTGCTGAGCCACATGTACTGCCCATTTCCAGGGAGTTAAGGTCTCTGTGCCAACTGTGTCTTACTAAATGTACTGTGTGTTGGCTGTTTGAGATGATCTCTTCTTGAACAGAAATCTCTTCCTCTTCCCTCTTCTCCCTTGCTCCCTCTTTCCCTGCTTCTCTTCCTGCCTCCTTCCCCCTCTGCTCCTCATAGCTTCCCCTCCCACCTGCCCTCTCCCCATATCCATCCCCCCTCTGTCTTGTCTTCACAAAAGAGCAGATCTTCAAGAGATAACAACCAAACAGGACAAACCAGGATACAATAAGACAAGGAAAAAAGGCCTCATATCAAGGGGGGGACAAGGCAGCCCAATAGGAGGAAAACAGTCCCAAGAGCAGGCAAAAGAGTCAGAAACATGGCTGCATATCAAGGGGGGGACAAGGCAGCCCAATAGGAGGAAAACAGTCCCAAGAGCAGGCAAAAGAGTCAGAAACATGGCTGCATATCAAGGGGGGGACAAGGCAGCCCAATAGGAGGAAAACAGTCCCAAGAGCAGGCAAAAGAGTCAGAAACATGGCTGCTCCCACTCTTAGTAGTCACACAAAAATGCCAAGCCAGCAGCCATAATATATACTCTAAGGACCTGATGCAAATCCCTGCAGGACCTGTGCTTTCTGCTTCAGTCTCTGTGAGCACTTCTTAATAGATTCAGTAGGCCATGTTCTCATGATGTTCTCTGTGCTCTGGCCCCTACAATCTTTCCTTCCCCTCTTCTGAGGGGCTTTCCAGTTTCTGAGGAGAGGGACCTGATAGAGAGCTCCAGTTTAGACTCTCTCTTTGCATAATGTCTAGCTATGGGTACATCCCAACCCCTCTCCCCTGGAAGCCTCTCTGATGATGACTGGACAAGGCACAGGCCTATGAGTATAGCAGAATATCATTAAGAATCATTTCACTGATGTTTTTAAAATTTGTATTTGGTTCTACCCTCTGTTTGATCCAGGCACTATAAGACTTAGGCTCCCTCTCTTGGTATGCAACTCAAATTAAAGCAGACATTGGTTGTTTTTTTTTTCAATACAGGGTTTCTCTGTGTAGCCCTGGCTGTCCTGGAACTCACTCTGTAGACCAGGATGGCCTCAAATTCAAAGATCTGCCTGCCTCTGCCTCCCAAGGGCTGAGATTAAAGGCATTTTCTCAGAAATTTTAATTAATTAATTACTAATTGATTAATTAAGTAAATTTTGAGTTGGTATCTCATAATATAGTCTTGACTGTCCTGGAGCTCACCATGTAAATCAGATTAGCCACGAACTCACAGATACTTGCCTGATTCCTAGTGCTGAGATTAAGTTCAGGCCTGAGAGATCAGCCAGTGTTTGATTTATTTATTTATTTATTTATTCATTTACCAATTTTCCCAATAGTTTCTCCACGAATATTTTCAGTAGACGAGTTAGGAGGGGTGGAGATTATTGCTTTCTCTTCTTCATCCATAGTGTGCCATTCTGAGTCATGCTTGCTTCCTTGCCTTCCTGGAGCATGGCCACAACCTCTCCTGCTTTAGGGACTGTAGTCTGGGCTTTCATCTCTATTTTTCAAAAGACTGATTTTTAATCTGTGCTTGCTTACAGATTAAATCCTAGGGAAGTTCTGGGATTGAAAGTTATCTATTCCAGGGATCCTGGGATAGGATAATTTTTTTTAATTTCTCAAAAAATTTGACACACACACACACACACATATATATATATATTTAATATATATATAATATTATATATTATATTATATATAATAAAATATATAATATATAATATATATACATATATATAAATATATATATTTAATATGTATATTAAATATATATATATATATTTAAAATGAGAACTTGACTTTTTTGTGTACCTGGGGTGCATAGCTCAGTTTACCCTTTCTCTTGCCATTAAAAAAGTTAAGAACTTTGTTTATTTTTTAAAACACCATTTCCAATGTCTTCAAACTTTGACTATCTCAGTCATTTTTCATTTTATTTCTGTTCAGACCAAAATGAAACTTTGCTTCCTTTCTCAAAATAGAGTTCATTTGTTCTGTGCGGGTAAGGTAACATGTCATATGTTAGCATAAAGAGTACTGCAGGCATGGCTTAGTGGTTAAGAGTACTTGCTGCTCTTTCAGAGTGCCTGAGGTCAGATCAGTGTTCAGTTCTCAGGGTCCGTGTCAGCTCACAATGGGCTACAACTCCCTTAATGCAGCTCCATCAGATCCCATGCCCTCTTCTGGCTTCCTTGCGCATGTGACTGGCATACCTCGAATACACACACACACACACACACACACACACACACACACACACACGCAATAAATAAAATAAAATCTATATTGTAGCATAAGACGTATCTTTGTAATGACGTTTAGAAGAACAATTCAATACATGGCTTGTTTTTGGTTATGTTAATGACTGTGTTTCCTTCTACTTCTCTTTTCACAGTTTCAATGCTGTGGTTTGGTTAAAGGAGCTCAAGATTGGGGAAATAATTTTTCAGAGGCTCAAGAGTCATGTAAATGTACAGATACAACAGGAGCTCAGTGTTCTACTTATCTGGGAAATGAAGTTAATTCACAGGTGAGAATAAGATCCAATCTGGCACATTAAGTAGTTCTGTTATATTCTTTTCACAATGACAGTCTCTGTAAAAACTTAAAATACAGCAAGCACCAGGGGAACTCTGATGTGAAAATACAGCAAATATCCAAATGTAAAACCAATCTTTATTAAATATAAAAGAAGATATTTTAAAATGAAAGTATTTTTGTCAATGAGTTTAGCACCATTTAAATCCAACTTTCATAGATCAAAGTTAGGTCCAGTACAAACTAACATGAAAGTTTATTTTATTCTGTCTTTGGTGACTACAATTGACACCCTCTATGTTTTCTATAGTAATAAAATTTCTGGAAATTAATACTTTTTCTTTACTTTTCAAAAGGCAGTCTTTTTTTCACTAGTCATAATACCTTTTTCCAAGAACCCATGTAAGTATAAATTAAGGACTTAATATTTAGGAGTTTAGTTTCCGGGTGTTAAATATACTTGCTATCTTAATCTACTTATTGTTGCCATTGGGAAATTGCTTTGAATGTCTGAAATAAATTTAAAAGGTGAGTTTCTATCTTCTATGTGTTATATACTTCCTAACTGTCTGACTTGTGGGTATGGTCTCCTATTTCTCCTGCATTTTCTTAATGAAAAATTTATGACTATTTATCAAATAGTTATTGTCTACCTCCTGTAAGCCAGGCCTGCTGGAGGTCCAGTCTTCATTTACACCCGATCCAAAGCAGTGAACACTCAGGACAGTTCCCCTGTCATTTAGTTCCTGGCGATCAGTATATGCATATGGTATAAAGCCTATACTCACAGATGTGATTGCCAAATAACTAGACAGCTAGAAAGATAACTACAATGCTTGAGTAGGAGACAACACAATTTTTTGTGGTCCCCATCTAAGTTCGTGGAGGTCCTGACACGTACCCACCACAAGGCTTTTTCTACACTCTTCCTTCTGCCTGGAAAGGCTTAGTACAGACATGACAATTGGCATTAATGTTTAATTTTTTTAACTGCTGTTCTTTGGAGACTACTCTATTGTTCTACCATTGTAACATCAAAAGGCTTCAGCATCCTTTAAATTAATATCTAGTTATGAGGGATCCACAAATGCTACTACCGCTCACAATAGATTAGTGTCCATGATAGCCGAAGGTTATTCCCAATTTAGCATTGTTTTTGTTTGCCTATTGTTGATGTCATTAATAAATGAAAGAAAATACTTAATTGCTGGGAAAAATTCTCTCCTCTGGACTACTGAACGTTGTCTCCAGAGCTCATGAGGTTCTTCTCTGAAGTGGCATTGGTGGAGCTCACATTTACAGTGATCCATGGGGGAAGCAGTTACCAGATTGCAATATTACTGTGTCATTTCATTGTCAAAAATAATAGCAGTTAATTTTTTTATTTTTACATTTTGTATTCTTCTCTGATTTCCTTCTGCAACACACTGTTTCTAAGGTAGAGTGGAAATCATTGTCTGGTACAGATGAATGTAGGAAGCTTCCACTTAGGATGATGAGGAAATTCAGAGGCTCTGTTGAACGGATGTCTGCTTCCTACGAAAGGATCGGTGGAAAGATGTTTTCCCTTAAGATACATTCTGAAAAGCCCTTATTAAAAAGATATTTTCTGAAAGTTTGCACATAATTCAGCTGAGTAAAAGCCAACAGCTGTCTTAGTACCCTAAAAGGAAAGTCATAAATTCTTTGACTACTTCCATCTGCCATGTGTCATTTGCAAGTCTGGAAAAATAGGAAATCTGTAATGGCCACTATACATGTTTCCTTTTATTTTCTTCCCTCTCTTGCCAAGATAACCTTATTGTCTTGGGTGCAGGAGAAGACAGATATAATGAATGTGAATCAATAGATACAGTCATCCATCCCCCTCTTGATCCTAACCGATGTGATGATAATCTCAGATGTTTGCTGCTTTGGATCAGAAGTGAATGGAGAAGTCTGTCACATTAAGGAATGGAATGGGTTGGAGGGGAAGACCTCTCCAGCCTTGGGGAGATCTTCCACTGTTTCTAGCTGGGAGCATGACTTGGTCAGTCTTCACACACACATGAGGGATGACATAGCTCATGGCATTACAGATTATGTTGTGCAGTGGTTTTCCATTTTAAAAAGTTGCCTTTGTAATTTTCAGTTACTGGAATGTTTAGAATTTGCCTGAAATGCTTTAAAGTTTGATTTCCAGGATTGCTTGAATACATTTCAAAACAATATACTGGCTAAACAGCTTTTCAAATTTTCCTTTTTACTTAAATAGCACAAGTATACATTATGTATTTAAGGTAAAAAATAGCACTCATATTTATTATTAAAGTATTTTAACTTTTTGGCTTTAAGAGAAACATCTGTACTATATCTGTATGTAGCCTCAACAGGAGATTTTCCCTGCTGCACCTCACAAGCTCCCATAAAAATCCATAGTTAGGGGAACACCAGTTCTTAAATAAATAATCCAAAAACAAGATACAATTATTTATATTCTTTTGATTATAAAAATTATAGTTTAGAGATATATTGGTGTGGATTTATTTTTAAATTTTCACAAAATAATTTTAGTTTTCACTTTCTTTTTTATTATATTTTTTAGTATTAAAACAATTTTGAATTTAAATCTATTTTGATCATATTCTTCCCTTCCCCCAAGTCTTCCGAGATCCTTTCCCCAAACCTACCGTCTCAATTTTAAGTTCTTAAAAAAAAATAACCCAGTACAAGAAAACAAAATACACCCCTCCAAAAAAACCTCACCAAACTGTAACCAAATAAAAGCTCACACACACACAAAAACTGGGGGGTTGATTATATATATGTTGGTCAAGTACTCTGACAATGAGGCCTGTTCTGGAGTGGATGTTATACCCACTGTTACTCTATTGATTATCAATCCCAACATTCAGGAACTATGCAGCTAAAGCGAAAAACAAAACAAAAAAACATTTTCTAGCTTAAATGCTCTTTAACACATAGAGTAAGAATGAAGGCAGTAGAAGAAGAAATAGTTCAATTCCTTTTTGTTGACTTTGTTAACAATATAAAAAGTCAAGTAGAATAAATATCGGTCAAAATTTACTAAAGCCATTTATTTGTTTTCTTGTTTTGATAGACCTGTACTTCTTCGATAAAACATTTGTTTGAAAAGAACATTATTATAGTCATTGGAATTGCTTTTGGACTGGCAGTTGTTGAGGTACAGTATAACATTTCATTGCCTCTGCATTCATTCTACTTCTCATTGGTTGTAACAAATGCTTGTGGTAAGCCAAAGGAGGGTGCCTAAAAATTACTGGTACATAGTGCCTAGGGTGCAGCATCTCCCTGAATCAGTCTTGAATCTGGAACAGGTAGTATTATAGTACTGTAAGCCAAGAAGGGCTGAGGCTGCTACTTTGTAACTGTCTTCTTGTTTTCTTAAGAAAAAAAATTAAGATCTATATAATTCTTATTTGTAGGTATACTCCCTTTTGTATAAAAACTGTATTTAGACAAGTTTAAAAACTTTTTGAAGTGAGGAAAAGAGCAGGAAATAAAAGCAAAAAAAAAAAAAAGTAACCATCACAGTTGGCTATTTCTAGCCAGAATCTTGAAACAGAAAATAGAAGCCAAACTCACAAGAGTGGGGAAATGTTTTGGCTCCAATTCGTTAGTTTCCTTGGATTCTCTCTGCTTAGATACTATAAATGGACTAGATGATATTTCCAGGAAAGCTTTCAGGTGGACTTTGTGGACCCTTGCATCAATTTAATTATTGATGTTGAAAAATATATCCTCCATGGGATTTCTATCTTGAACTTTCTTGGCATTTCGTTTTACAACCTGATGGATAGCTTTTATATGGCCTCCAAATATTTGCAAAGAAGATGAAATGAAATATTTTCAAAGGGGCATTTATGGAATTATCTCAGGTCTTGAGAAATGTAGATACCAAATGAATCAGAATCACTCAGGAGTAAATGTCAATACACTAGCAAGAACTGAAGCACTGTGTGGTATTTCCCTGGTGACTGCTGCTAAAGGACATTTGCTTCATTCTCATGGAATGCTGGGCAGTGCCCCTTTAGGCCCTTTGGAGGCTTTGCAGCCTCCTGTCACATAACTGCTAGGTCCAAATTTTGGCTGAGATTACAGTAATTTAATGTTCTAAGTTGTTACTGGTGGAATTTCTCAGTCATGTATTAGAAAAGCCTAGATACTACCAGCATCAAAAAAATTACTCTTCTTATAGCCCAAATGAGTCAAAGTCAAATGTTACTTTGCATTAGGTCTGTTTCTGTTGATTCTGACAATTTTTCTGTGTCCTTTGATTATTTACTTTGTATTCTGGCATCATGCTAATTTAGAAATAACAGATAATAGCTGCAAAGGTGAGTAAAGAATCACATATATACTCATGGTCATATAAACATATGACACACACAGTTATGTTTCAATAGAGTTGATTTTAAAGGAATAATAGGTTGGTGGTAGAGCATGAAATTAATATGCTCAGAGACCAGGGTTTAATCACTAACTAACTAATTAAAATTGGGAAAGCAGGTATTAAATGAGGTTAAGTATTAAATTTCATGTTAGATTCAAATTCAGAGAGTTGCCGTTGACTGAATACAGTTCACATATGCTTTTAAGGGGTTTGTTGAAGCTGAGCCAAAAGTAATAAGGATGTGATTGATTGGAAAGATTGGTGTCTTGCATATCATAGCTAAAGTTATTGCCAAGAATCTAGACAGATCTAGAGGAATAACACATATTAATATTTTATGAATTTGATATACTCCACGTACTTGTCACACATTTAGGGACATTGTTAATGTTAATTCTCCTATATGACTTTCCAGTAATACTTGAATAAAATACTTTATGTACAGTAATTTACCACTGAGGAGTTTTGTGGTATTATCATAATGTGTAATCATTAGCGAGCCCAGTGAAATTGTGATGCCTTGATTATATGTAGATATAGTTAGTAATTAACTGGCAGAATTGTTGGACACTTTTCTTTGATTTCTCAGTCTAGAGTTTTATGTAAAAAAAAAAAAAGTATTTGGTGCCTTATTTTAATTTATTCAAAAGAGAGCTTTGCAAATGGCCCCCTGTTACCCAGTCAGTAGAAATGTGCCCCCAAACAGGCTTCAGTCTTAGAGTCATTAGATGGATCTCGAAGCACTTAAATCTTTCTGACTTCTAAATTCCAGGAAACACAAAGATGAACAGAGAGAAAAATCTCTTCTCATAAACATTTCTAAGGAAATAGAAGCAATTCTGTACAGACCTAATGCAGAAAATATATGTAGACAATCTTCTCAGAAAAAAATCATATTCCATATTTAGACATTAGGTGGAAGTTTTGTTAACACTGTATGCCTTCGGGGCTCCTTTCAGCTTGCATAATAGAAACTCCATATAAGGTGCTCATACTTAATTCTGTGAAAAATTTCATCTGTGGATGTTTAGAATCCTTATTTGGATTTAAATAGGCTTATTATTTATTATTATTATTATTATTATTATTATTATTATTATTATTA